CCCTCAGCAGAACCCTCAACCCCTAGTTCCTATAGATTACTCAAAGACCAACAGGGCTTACAAGAACAAATGCCAGTCCTGCAGGTGATACGCTAACAAGCAACAAATTAAACATGTGAAAATACAGAAGTGGGAAGCTTATGAGTTCTGGAATCCGAATAGGGATTGTACAGACTTAGGCACCTCGTATCCTCCTAAAAGGTTCTTTTGGAGTCCCGAAGCCCTCCTTCCCTACAACGAAGACCAGAAAGTTCTCGATCCATGTTCGTTTTCGTGTTCACAAAGGAGCCTCCTGCTTGGAGGGTTCGTGGTAGTGATGAGACTAGCAGGAGATTTTCGAAGAGACGAACCTCTATCCCTACTTGAAGCTACCCAAAAACCTCCCAGCAAACCCCCCCAAACCCTCAACCCGATAAACCCCCAAACCCCAAGCCCCTTCACCCTCTCAACCCTCTTTTCTAACCTCAGGCTCTGCATTGGAAACCCTACAGTAAACTCCGGCAAGTTGGAACGTGATTTAAGGATGGTTCGACCTGGGCTTCCCCTTTAGTGTACCTTTTTGGGGTATGGGGGAGAAGGAATTACCCTAAACCCTAAACCCTAAACCCTAAACCCTAAACCCTAAACCCTAAACCCTAAACCCGCAGACTCGGAACCACCTTCACAGGGTTCAGGGGGCACCTTTTGCGCACCGCCGGTCTCCAGGGCGTTCTTGGCCAGATCTTCTAGCAGGGGCCTGCTTTGCTGGGTCTACTGTAACCGCAGCTTGTTCAGGACTTAGGCCGTGTTTTAGGTTGAGAATGTTTAGGATTTAAGGTTGAACTTGAACCGTTGAACCAGCACATCACACAGGACGAAGGGCTTGGGGTTTGGAAGTTGCCGTAAGGCTCAGGTGTCTCTCCGGTTTCGGGTTAAAGATTGAACGATCTAGCTTCCGCGGGGAATGAACGTGGCTTTGGCGCTGGGCCAAGGGAGTGCGTAGAATCATGGTTGCCAGAGCCGTAAACCCTTTTTGAACGAGGGCTCTCTCACGTGCCTCGAGCTTCTCACAAACCCTAAACCCTAAACCATAAACCCTAAAACCCTAAACCCTAAACCCTACACCTGCCACAGGAAAGGCGCTGGAGGTGTCTCAAGTAATCTCCGGAAGCTGGGGTGAACCAAGTGGTGGGTTGATCATCCAACCACGGCAGGCACACCATCTTCCAGGATAGGGCGCCTAAAGAACACACGCACAGCCGAAGCTCTCAACCGTAAATCCCCCAAAAGTCCCTGCCCTTCAAGCCCTTCAAGCCCTTCAAGGCAAGGCCCTCAAGCCCTTGAAGCCCTTCAAGGCCTTCAAGCCCGTAAAGCCCTCAAATCAACTCAAGCCCCTTAAAGCCCTTCAAGCCCTTAAAGCCCTGCACACTGGGCGTCCCAAAGCCTACACCCTCCCCGGTCCTTGGCACGGCGCTTGCGAAGTTCACCTGTTTCTCCACGGAGGTTGTCGAACATGCTTACGATACAGGGTGTCACCCCAGTTCCAGGGGTTCGTGTCGGGCTTTTAGGGTTTAGTCCTAAACCACTGCTCGGGGATGTCAACCACACAGCATCGAAGCAGCCAACACGGCCGAGGGAGTAGCCGTATTTTTGGAAGTTGGTGCTTCGGGAGCCCCCATGATCTTTTATCTCCTCAGGGCGCGGCATAGCAACTTTCGTACAAGTTCTTGGAGAGATCCTGCAGAGGAACAGCTGCCAGTAGACTCGGCCTGAACCCTCTCCTCCGGCACAACTCCCGGACTTCAGACGTTGTACCTTGAACACCTAAGGTGGTACCCTTGGGTTTTGGGGGCCCTAGTCCCTTGACAGACCACATAATTTGCGCAGCTCTTGCGGTCGTAAGTCATAAAGGGAAAAAGATGTCCTCCACGATCTTGGCGATGTTCTGCTCTGTCGGTTCGACGAAGTAGACCTACAGAGTCTCATGTAACTTACATATGGGGGCGGGGGTTCCGCAAAACGGGGGGCCCTTTCTGGGGGTTCTTTTTTTATCACGGTTATAGTATTTTGGGGTAGGTACCCCTTTAACAGCAAGCGGGTGAAAAGCAAATGTCGGCACATATCCAAGCAAGAAGCCCCCACACCCACACCTAAAGCCACCTCGGCATCTGCATGCGCTCTTTGCCAGCTCACCACTTTCGGTTTGGGGTTGGAGCCATTACCCGGATGCCTAAACATGCTTTCCAATGCAAGAAAGGAGCAGCAGGCACGTCGGCCACAGGTAACCTCTCGCTGTTGATGTTCAAATGCAGGGTCACCTGGGCAGAGCCGAGCTGGGGCCCAGTCTGAGCCTTGGGCTTTGGGTATGCATCTGCTACCCTGTGGACGGCTCTTTGTAAGGAACGTAAAGCTGCCATCATCATGGCGCTTGTGTGTTTACTAGATAGCTCGGATCTGGCAACCGTCTTTAAGTTCCTGAACAAGAACCCGGGTTTTGCAGGCCAATGGAGATAACGTTCGCTTCGATTGCGAGATGTGACTCAGACCCCCTAAGCCCCTCTGAAGCAGCCGAGTGTCGCCGTGGTTTCGCAACCCGCCCACCTTCAGCAGTTGAGCCACCACCTCCTGGACAGCCATGCAACAGAACATAGGCTCCAGCATTACTACTATTATTATTCTTATTATGATTACACTGGGTATGTTTAGGCTCTGAAATCGCCACTCTGCAAAGGTTATGAGGCTTGCGGTGCGACCACAAGGTCTTGCAGCCCCCTCGGCCGAAACCCCACAGCTGCAAACTTTAAACCCATCGAGCCCTCAACCCTCGGCCTTCCGCCCAAGACCCGCGAAAACCCATTTTCGCCCCGAGCACCCTCCAAACGCAAGCTCCCTCTGCACAGAGGATTCAGCACAGGGTCCAGACACACACTTCAAGGCCCTCCAAGCCGTGCAACCTGAAAGCCCTTCATGTTTCTTTAAGTCAAGGTCCCTTCTTGGGGTGCCCAACACCAGGTACCGTCATCTAGAATCTAAGCAAAAATAAACATGTTTGGGCCTGACAGAACTTGTCGTACACCAAGACTTTCCAGGTGGAGGCCGTGGCAAAGGTCTGATCGGCCGCCTCGCCCAGGTTGAGCATGCGCAGCCTCGGAACTTTTAGGGCTTCCCGGAAATTTTCTGGGAGACGTTGGGGGTGGCCAACCTTGGCAGCCCAGCAACCATGTTTATAATAAGGTACCATCTTGGGAGCTGGCTACTTGATAAGGGAACCTAGAACCCCAAAAATGGGCAGAGGGTATGTCTGGGCTGCCAAGCAAAACTTTCGGCTTCCTAGGGAATGTTGGGGCTTGTGAGCTCAGGGCTTGAAACTCAGAACTCCAGCTGAAATCAGGAATTGTGGCGGAGGTGCCCGCCGGGTCGTTCCCTGAACTTCCTTAGACCAAAACCCTAAGTTCGTTGAACCCGAAAATAGACCCCTCAACATGTTTGAACCCCTAACTTCCCCAAAAGGGGGATGTTAAAACTAAACCCTAGACCCCAAACCCTAAACCCAACTAGGGGATATTGGGGGGGGGGGGGGAGCACCCTAAACCCTAAACCCTGAACCCTAAACCCTAAACCCCCCAAGGGGGTGCTTTGCCGGGCAGCACGGCGGCCTTCTGGGACTCGAGGATGCCTTGAGCCATCCTGGAGGGTTGTGCAGGGGGGGGGGAAGGGCTTTTCTTTTAAGGGCCCCTTTGTTTTTTTTTTCAGGTTTTAGGGTTTAGGGTTTGGGGGTTTGGGGGTTTGGGGTTTAGGGTTTAGGGTTTGGGGTTTAGGGTTTCTATTGCTGCTTTGCTTTTCTTTTCCTTTTTGTGACTGCTATTCTCGATCTGTGGCTCTTAAAACCCTCTAAATATAACACACTTCTACCATTTGCGTAAGAACCCCACAAACGATAACGAAGTTCTTGCTTTTCAGGACAATATAGGCAGTATAATCTTTGTGTATGTTTGTTGGGAGGTTTCTGAAACAAGTAGTAGTAGTAGTAGTAGTAGTAGTAGTAGTAGTAGTAGTAGTAGTAGTAGTAGTAGTAGTAGTAGTAGTAGTAGTAGTATAGGGGATGCTTAAGGGCATTTTAGGGTTGCCCATAAAGGTGTCTTAAGTCGGGCTGATGAGTTTGAAGATTGTAGCTGTTGGGGAATCCACGCCTGCGCCTCCGGGGCCGCGCCACGCGCAAAAGGGCCGCAACTCGAGCCGCTAACGCTGCACACGAAGCACCCGCTCTCCCCAAGGGCAAGTGGCCCCGGTGACAGACATGCCGGGGTAAGAAAGGCCCTTCTTTCCGCAAACCCCGAAGCATAAACCTCGTATTCTTTTTTGAGGAGCCATACACCCCAACCCTCGTCGCTGCAACATATCAAAACTCGAGCCGCAACCCCAGCACTTCATCATTGCCATGAAGCCAAGTTGCTGTATTCTGTGAAGAAGCTATGGTGTTGAAGCACATGCCCCAGAAGAATAAGAACACGAATACTACTTCTGAAATATGGATTTGGGCTTTCGATGAATACCAATCAAACACAAATCCCGAGGAGACCTTGTTTCAGGGGTTCGGATTTAAACCCTGAACCCTAAACTCCTAACCCTAAATCCGAAACCAACAACCCTAAACCCCAAACCCCAAACCCTAAACCCCAAGCCCTAAACCCCAAACCCCAAACCCTAAACCCTAAACCCATCTGTGGATGGGCCCACAGCCTCAGACCTTTGACACGGTCGAAGGTCTGAGCCCTCGACCCCAGGCGCCCGACCACCGCTGTGACACCTGATTAGGGTTTAGGGTTTGGGGTTTCGCCTTTGGGGTTTAGGGTTTAGGGTTTAGGGTTTAGGGTTTAGGGGGTAGGATTTAGGGTTTAGGGTCTAGGGTTTAGGGTTTAGGGTTTAGGAAAGTTTTGGCGGAGCCGAAAAAACATGGGCAGGGCTACATAAAAGGGCCGTGTCCAACAGACCATTCATTTCAAGAAGCCGCTGCTCTGTCGTCACTTCATGGCACAAGGGTCTTGCTTGCGTACCCTAAACCCTAAACCCTAAACCCTAAACACTCAAGCAAACTCCCTGTCCGGTGCTGGGCCACCGGACCAAAGAGTGCCTGCGTGGTGGCTAGGCCCAGGGAGACCAGCACCTCGCGTTCGCTCGACATGACGCGTCGTAAAGCATGGTGCTTCTGGGGCCTCATCCTGACCCCTGCGACAGAACCCTAAACCCCCCAACACCGAAACCCTAAACCCTAAGCCCAAAGCCCTAAGCCCCAAGCCCCAAACCCTAAACCCTAAACCCTAAGTCAGTTCTAATGTGTTGAGCCATCTGGGGGCTGGGCCATCACACACCAATCCGCGTACCGGGCAACGCCATCGCGCGGCAAGGAGGAGGCTCAGCGCATCTGAATCATGGCGGTTTAGGGTTTAGGGTTTTTTGTTTAGGGTTTAGGGTTTAGGGTTTAGGGTTTAGGGTTTAGGGTTTAGGGTTTAGGGTTTAGGGTTTAGGGTTTAGGGTTTAGGGTTTAAGACAAGCACCCCTAAACCTTGAACCTCCTAAAACTGTCCTGAGCTTGGAAACCTTTTCGCTCCTCAAGTTCCAAGCCAAGTGAAAGTTTAAGGAAGATTCTGGTTTCGAGGTCCTGGTTGTGGGATGGAGGACTATAAGGAGCTGCGCGATTGCAAGGCACTCTTGCATTTGGCGTGAATACCAAGTCTCCCCACGCTCATGGAACACGAACAACAACTGGCTAGCTCTTAGTAGGGAATGAGGGGATGGAGGCCCTTAGAAAGGGCCCCTCATTCCATCATTCCCTACTAAGAACCAAGGGACAATCGCCAGCTTGCTCACATGCAAGGCCACATTTTGCCCGCGCAGAGCTGCCACAATGGCGTCCTGCAACGCGCAGCATGTCGCAGGGTGGGTTTAGGGTTTAGGGTTTAGGGCTTAGGGCTTAGGGCGTAGGGATTAGGGCTTAGGGCTTAGAGTTTAGGGTTTAGGGTTTGGGGTTTAGGGTTTAGGGTTCAGGGTTTAGGGTTTAGGGTGATCCACTGGGGATGAAAGGACAGGCCTTCGAGGGTGGCGGCGTGAAGACACAAGGCCGATCGGCATCAGCTGCGGCATCCAGGACATGTTCACTGCTCCTCCCATCAAAGGCTTCCCTAAACCCTAAACCCCTAAACCCGAAACCCTAAAGCCCAAACCCTAAACCCTAAACCCTAGACCCCAAACCCTAAACCCTAAACCCCAAACCCTAAACCCTAAACCCCCACGAGGCACGGCAGCTTTGGCTTTCGTTCAGGAATTCTGCAAGTCCGGCCGGCCCAGCTGTCGAACAACAGTCACGAAAAAATGCGGTGAAAGATGTTGGCATAGATGTTGGCTACATTTATGCTCATGAGCTAGTGGATGACGACATATTCGTCACAAGGCTTAGATGCTCGGCATCGATGCGAATTTAAAACTGCAACTCGCCCATCAACCCAAAACAACTAAAAAAAGACGCATCGCCGACATCTGTGCTCAAGGGCGCGAACAGAATCCCAAAATCCCGCTCCGGACCCTAAACCGCCTAAACCCTCATCCCCCAACCACAACCACTACAACCACTACAACCCTAAACCCTAAACCCACACAACCACTAGAACCCTGAAAGGCCTCCACAGCAAGCCGCCATCATCGTGCTTGTCTCCCGACTGCGCCGGGGACATTGGCACTTGAATCCTTGACCAGGGTTCAGGGTTTAGGGTCTAGGGTTTAGGGTTCGGGGGTCGGTTGGATTGGATGTCGGGCCCAGAGTGATTCTGACCAGATACGATGGTGTGGAAACTTTAGCTTGGGATGACCCTTCGCCTCAAGAAGCTTGGGCCTTCCGTCAAGCGGACACCGCTGTTGCAAAGCAGGCCTTGCTGCCCAAAGTACTCTGAGCAATGATGTTACGGTTTCTGACAGTTGCCCCAAATTTCAAGACCCCGCACGATATTGTGTAGCCCCATGAGAAGAATTTCAGACCCTGTACGATATTGTGTAGCCCCAAAGAAAGAAGCAAAAATTGAAAAGAAAAGGGGCCCCCTCTCTCGCAACAACCCTGCTGCGACTCCACCCGGTAAATCCCAGAAATCAGAAAGGAGCCTGCCGAAATGCAATAATGAGTCTACGTATAACCCACTTAAAGCACTTAGGGGGCTCACAAGTATTGTACGTACCCCGAACCTCCAAGAAAACCCTACAAACAAATGAGTCCCTTGAGATGTCCCCCACCCCCCTATACTAACAGTCCTTCATAGGTACAATGGGGGGGTACATTATCCCTCTTAAGGACTGCTAGCATTAGGGGGGACATCCCAACCCTCAACCCTCAACCCTCAACCCTCAACCCTCAACCCTAAACCCCTAAACCCTAAACCCCTAAACCCTAAACCCTAAACCCTAAACCTTTGAGTCCCACCAAAAAACAAAGGTTCCCCCTAAACATCAGCCGCGAAGCGGCGCCGAGGCCATGGGGCTCGAAGTTCGCCTGCTGCCTTCTGCGGGGGTTTGGGGTTTAGGGTTTAGGGTTCAGGGTTTAGGGTTTAGGGTTTAGGGTTTAGGGTTTAGGGTTTAGGGTTTAGGGTTTAGGGTTTAGGGTTTAGGGTTTAGGGTTTAGGGGTTCTGGGGCCGGAACCGGTCTGGTCAGGGGTAGGGTTGAGGTTTGAGGTTTCTAGCTTAGAGGTTTAGACTGAGCTTGCGGAGTTTGTAGGGGCTTGTGGGCAGGGGCTTGTGGGCTTGGGGATCTTTATAAGGGTTATAAGGGCTATAAGGGCTATAAGGGTCATAAGGGCTATAAGGGTTATAAGGGTTATAAGGGTTTAGGGAAGGTCTAGATGGTTGAAGGCCTAAAGACCGATGAAGGTCCAGTCAAGTTACCAGGCTTGGACAAGTTCGAGTCGCATCTTCTTTGGGCTTGGGCGGCCAGGCCGGCATGTATGCCGATCTTCTGTGACCGTCTGGCAGAAGCCACTGAAGGATTGAGACCCTAAACCCCAAACCCCAACACCTAAACCCTAAACCCCAAACCCTAAACCCTATACCCAAAACCACAAACCCTAACCCCTAAACCCTCCTCAAACCGCAGCTCAGGTCGAGGCCGGCGCGGCCCGTCACGGGGATGTGCGCGACGCTCGGCCGGGAGTCACCGAGCCACGCGGAGATGCGGGGGTTGCCTGGGATTCGAAGCTAAGAATCTTGGATGGCCCTCTGAAAAAGAGCCTAAACCCTAAACCCTAAACCCTAGCCCCTCTAGCCTCCTTTGCCCCCAACCCCTTTTGCAACATTCCCGAAACCCCAAACCCCAAACCCTAAACCCTAAACCCTAAAACCTACCCAAGTCGCAGGGTGTTGCGTCACCGATGATGAGCCTCGGATACCGACAGGCTGCAAATACAAAGCTTGTGGTGGCTCCATCTGTGGCATGTCAGGGTTGAAGGAGTTATGGGTTGGGGTTTCGGGTTCTGAGTTTTTGCCACCTGCCTGGGGTTTAAGGTTTAGGGCTTTAGGGTTTAGCGTTTCGGGCTTCGGGCCTGCTTAGGTCTAGGCTTCAGGGACCGGGTCTGGTGGGGTTCAGGGGTGAGGGTTCATTGGCGCTTAGAAAGATTCGGCTTGAAAAATCAACTCACGCAAGTCCCCTTAGATTTTGGGTGGTTCAAGCCCTTGGGCTGAGTGGAACCCTCACAACCCTCACCTTTTCACTTCACGGCAGGACGCCCGGACTACCAAACTCCTCAAGCTCGCTCAACCCTCTCGAAGCCGGACTTGCTGACTGCCCATCCTTCTTCCTAAATCCTGAACCCTAAACCCTAAACCCTAAGCCCTAAACCCTCACAAGGGGTGAAGACCCTAAGCCTTCTTCCGGGCAGCTGCCAGGCTGCCAAAGCATGCTCTGCCTGTGCAGTTTAGAAGTTCAGGTTTAGCACCCCCTTGTAGGGTTTAGGGTTTTGGGTTTAGGATTTAGGGTTTAGGATTTAGGGTTTAGGGTTTCGGGTTTAGGGATTAGGGTCCCGAATTACATGCCCTTCAAAAGCCTTGGCCAACTCGGCGTTCAGCGATGCCAACCTCGTGCGATCTGAATGCGTTGGGGCCCTCAGGTGTAGGGTGAAAAGTATTTTGGCTTAGGGCTGGGGGCTAGGTTGCAAGAGGCTTCAGGCTTAAGTGGGGTTCAAGCGTTTCAGGCTACCCTGAACATTGAACATCCGAAACTACGAGAAGCTACCGGATCCACAAATCATGCCTTGATTGCCTGGACCCCTGAACCCAGCTGGGAATGTGCACCCCTTGGAATGATTGCGACCCTTGCGCTCGCACACCACGAGTATGGTTGAGGGATTAGGGTCTCTAAACCCTAACCCTAAACCCTAAACCCTAAACCCTAAACCCTCTGTATTCTCCGATCCATCTCAGCCAGCAGGCTGGCCGCCCCAAACCACGCAGCCGACAGCCTGGAGCAGAGGGATGCAGGGTCCACCATGTTGAGGGTAAAGGGCTCATTGTCAGCCGGGTTTAGGGTTTAGGGTTTAGGGTTTAGGGTTTAGGGTTTAGGGTTTAGGGTTTAGGGTTTAGGGTTTAGGGTTTAGGGTTTAGGGTTTAGGGTTTAGGGTTTAGGGTTTAGGGTTTAGGGTTTAGGGTTTAGGTGTAGGGTTTAGGGTTTAGGGTTTAGGGTTTAGGGTTTAGGGTTTAGGGTTTAGGGTTTAGGGTTTAGGGTTTAGGGTTTAGGGTTTAGGGTTTAGGGTTTAGGGTTTAGGGCATCTACCAGCTGGTGATCTCTTCGCTTACTTGGGTGCTTCTTTTCACCTCACAGTGCTGTGGCGCCAGCACATGGCAGAAGTTCCAACCGAACGCACTTTTGCAGTCGCCCCCCTGCTCAAATCATGTCTGAAGAACTCTTATTCCATTCTGAATCGTTTTGGTTTTTTACTTGGATCATAATCCACGCTTTCGGATTTTTCAGGATCAGGGCATGAGCAGACGATGTCACCTCATCCTCTCCGCGCTGGTCCGCCTTCTTCCTGCGGACGATGACTGCTGTCACAACGGGTTCCGAACGACGAGTAGCTAGCAGCTGGTACCAGCAGCAGCGGAGTAGCAGGCGTAGTCATCGGCATGGTGGCAGGGACAATGGTTGCGGTAACCCTTCTGAACCCGAAGCTTCTTTCTGAACGCCGTGAGTGGTAGGGGCTTCACGTGTAAGGGCTCAGCCCATGCATGGCAGACCCACGAGCACGTTAAACCCTAAACCGGTCCTGGGCTTTGCCAAGGTGCAGACGGGGCGCTTCCCGGAGGCCGACTGCCTCAGGGTGGGGGCTTTTAGGGCTTAGTTTTTTTGCCACCCACCTAGCTGAGTTTGGGGTTTAGAGAGCTAAGGGTTTATTTTGCCACTCACAGGGTTTAGAGTTTATAGGGCTTAGGGGTTAGAGCTGTTTTGGGCGTCCCTTACTTTCGTAAACCAAGACCACGGCAACACGAAAGCAAGCTAGCACTGGACTCCGGGCGCTTCATTTGCATGCACGGCCTTAACGGCTTTGGGAACCCTAAACCCTCAACCCTAAACCCTAAACCCTAAACCCTAAACCCCAAGGCTTGCGAGGCCCCCAAAAAAGGGCCTGCCAATCTCCTGGATCCGCTCCAAGAGCAGCCGGGATGTGGCAGCCACGCTACCTTCACAGCTTGAACCCAGAGAGCCCAATTATCCCCTTAATTAAGGAATAGGGTTTAGGGTTGAGTGTCTTTAAACCCCAGAGCCTCAACCCCACCCTAAACCCTAATATAAACCCCCTCAAGCCCTAAGCCCTAATTCCGAAGCCCTAAGCCCGAATTTTTGAGGCCCAAGCCCTAACCCTGAGCCTTCAACCCTACCCTAAGCCCTAAACCCTGAACCTAAACCCTGGACCCTAAACCCTGAGCCCGAAGCCGTAAGCCCTGAGAAAAACAAACCTAAGCCCTGAACCCGACCAGCCGGTTCCGTGCAGTTGCCCCCGAGGCTACTAACGTCGTCAGGGCCAAGATTGCTCGGTTTGGGGTTTAGGGTTTGGGGTTTAGGGTTTAGGGGTTTGGGGTCTACAGGCACACAAGCGTACAAACGACGGGGGGCCGCAAACCATGAATCCCGAAAATCCTACCTCCTCACGCCCTCTCCGCCCGTTCTCCTAAACCCTAAACCCTAAACCCTAAACCCTAAACCCCTACCGCAGATTTCGCCCAGGGGCGGCTCGCCGCCGCAACCTGATGCCGACTTCGGTTTGAGGGTTTAGGGTTTAGGGTTTAGGGTTTAGGGTCTACGGTCATGCCGGCTCAGGAACCCTAAGCCATGCCGGGAGTGTGCAGAAAATTGACTTGGTTTCCCTTAAAAGGTTAAGCGCGGTTCGAGGCTGGAGGCTGTCTAGAGTGCCGTTCTAGGCCAGTGGCCCAGTGCTAGTCTCATTCCAAATGAACCCGAAATCTCAAAACCCGAAGCAAACCCCAAAACCCCAAACCCTGAAGCTTTTGAACCCGGAACTGAGGCCCATGCCGGATGTAAGCCAGAAGACTCACGACAACAAACCCTCAACCTAAATCTTTGAAACCCTGGTTCGCATCCGGACTCCCGTGGGGTGTTGCCAGAAACTGCCCAAACACAGAACCCTAAACCCTAAACCCTAAACCCTAAACCCTAAACCCTAAACCCTAAACCCTAAACCCTAAACCCTAAACCCTAAACCCTAAACCCCCCAAACTCCGAAGGTTCGAAGCTTCGGACCCCCTGCCTCGGAGAGCTGGATCTCCAGGTGCTGCCGCTGCTGCTCTGCAGCCTCGATCCTTGGGTTTAAGGTTTAGGGTTTAGGGTTTAGGGTTTAGGGTTTAGGGTTTAGGGTTTAGGGTTTAGGGCTTAGGGTTTAGGGTTTAAGGTTTAGGGTCATTTTTGTTGCCACTCTAGCCTTGAGTTTAGGGTTTGGGTTTTGTGGTCTTTAGGGCTTAGGGTTTCTAGTGATTTTAGGATTTGTGGGGTTGAGGGTTTGGCGTTTGGGATTTAGGGTTTAGTGCTGACAGGAGACCCTAAGACACCCTAAACATCCTCGAGCCCCTCAACATAAAAGGTTCATGGGTACCTGTAAGTGGGGTCAGAAGTAGGGTAACTCTAAGTCACACCTAGTCCTAACCTTATCCAGGGTACTGATAGCCCCCACTTATAACTACCCATGAACCCTAAACCCGAAGCCCTACACCCTAAGCCCTAAACCCTAAACCCTAAACCCTAAACCCTAAACCCTAAGCAACAGTGAAGGCCACAGCGTCTGTGGAGCCATCTCTTCGCGCGCACGCTGCGTGCCCCGGGCGGCCAGCGCCCTGGGCGCCCAAGGTCCAAGCTCTCAAGGCTTTCGGGTTTAGGGCTTGGGGTTTAAGGTTAGAGTTTAGGGTTTAGGGTTTAGGGTTTTGGGTTTAGGGTTTAGGGTTTAGGGTTTAGGGTTTAGGGTTTAGGGTTTGGGGTTTAAGGTTAGAGTTTAGGCTGTGTTGTGCTTGGGATCTGCGCCCGATTTATTGGCTGGAGTTTTGAGAGGGACCTCAAGCTCTGCGGCTCTGTGGATACAAGGGATGTGTGGGTTGCTAGGGTTTAGGGTTTAGGGTTTAGGGTGTAGAGTGTAGGGTTTGGGGTGTAGGCCGGTTCCCGCCTGTCTGTACTGCAAAGCCCTGCAGCCTATCCATCTGAACCCGCAACCCTGACCCGTTGCCAAACCTGTTTGTTGCTGCACACCGACACTCTCAAGTACCACGCGAGACTCTCAAACTGCAAGAACTCCCAGGACCTCAAAACAAGCAAAACTTGTACCGTCCACCCCTTTTCCCCAAGACCCCCTAAACCCTAAACCAACCTAAACCCTAAACCCTAAACCCGAAACCCTAAACCCCAACTAAACCCTCTAAACCCTAAGAACAGACCCCCATCCCACCGATCCGATTAAAGAAACACCCCGAATCCCGGTGCGAGGGTGTCCCAGTGGCGTCAGCGCCCGGAGCCCATGTAGGGCGAAGTCGGGGCTTGGGGCCTTCGCGGTGTCTGGGGGTTTGGGGCTTAGGGTTTGGGGTTGATAGGGTTAGGCAATTCATGGGGTTAAATGGGGCTCAAGGGGTGCATGGGGTTAGTAGGGTTGATAGGGTGAATAGGGTTAATAGGGATCCCAGAAGCGGTTCGTAAAACCTTGAAAACTTCAACAGCAAGAGGGCTCTTATCGGGGCTTGAGTTGGTAGAAGAACTAGGAAAAGCCCAGAAACAACACCCTGAACACCACTGAGCCCTAGAACCCCTAGAATCCCCTATGAGCCTTCAGAGGTTCTCTGCCCCTTACATTCCAAAAAAACAACCTTTTCCATCAACCCGGTATTGTTCTCATGATGATTCTTGCTACCTGGACCTCTTTTTTTCCTATTCGACAAGTAATAATAACAATCAAGCCCTGAACACCCCTCAACCCATTATTTATTGGTAGGATTATTGTTGCTGCTCGTTCTCTTATTCTACAAGCAATCATCACAACCAAGCCCTGCACACCCCTCCTGGCCTCCCGCAGCTGGGTGGCAGCAGCCTCCAGGTGCGCGGCAGCCGGAAAGCCCCGCATGGCCTCCGCCGCCTCTTGGGTACGGGGTTCAGGGCTTTTAGGGTTTCTCAGGGTTTTTCAGGGTTTAGGGGTTTGGGGTTTCAGGGTTTAAGGGTTCAGGGCTTTTAGGGCTTCAGGGTATTCAGGAACTTTTTTTTTTTTTGGGGGGGGGGGAGGGGTATTCTTTTTTATTGTGGGGTTTTGGGGACTCATTGTTTTGGTTTGGGGTACTTTTGTTTGCCACCCGCCAAGCAGACCAGCCACACTGCAGGGCAACAATTTCGGGAACCTTTGAGTCAAGTCCCTTCGATTGTTGGCAGGGTTCGCTGCCCGAGCTCCCGCGGGGTTTAGGATTACGGCGGGGCCTCAGTTTGCTGGTCTCACAGTCTCCGACTTGACGGAACGCAGTGCCCCACGAGTCCTCTAGACAACACCCCGAAGCCCTAAACCCAGACCCTAAACATCCTAAACCCTAAACATCCTAACCCTAAACATCCTCAACCCTGAACCCTAAACATCCTAACATCCTAAGCCCTAAACATCCGAAACCCTGAACCCTGAACACTTCCGCCGCCTCGGCAAGGCCGCCAGCCAGGCGCTGGCGCAGATCCTGGGGTGCTGCGTCGCATGCAGGGGCGTCTGGATTCGCTGCCATCAACATGAGACAAAGATCTTGAAGAGGTGTATATGGAACACGGAGTTTAGGGTTTTATGAGGATTCCCTGCAGCAAAGTTATGAGAAGATGTTGTGAGCGTTGGAGTTTTGCTGGCTCAGGTGCAACTTTTCTCTGCGAGGGTGCATGGGCCTTCATTCTGGGGAATATTTTTTACAATTGACGGTCTTTGTAAGCTTTTGAAGGGTGGAGAGTGAGAAGCGCAATGCTGGGCTTCTGCGGATGTCCCGCAAAGCCCATGCGCACTGCGCACGGCCAACTCTTGCATTCTCCCTACTACAACTCTGACTACATGATCCCGGAACCTTCTTGATTGATGCATGGAAGCTTGACGCAGCTTGCAAACGTTCGTAAGCCTCACAACCCTTGTTTGCATCAACGTATTTTCAACCGCCCCAGATGTCGTGGGGTCCTGCTCGGCCAGCAAAGCGGCGCGCAGCTCCGCGAGCTCGCTACTGCGCGCCTTGACTTGGCGGGGCTTCAGAGTTTGGGCTTTATGTGGGGCGATAGGGCGAGGTAGATGGCCGTTTTTTGCCTCCCACTAGACTTTAAGGTGTGAGTTCGTGGTCTAAAGTTTGTGTAAGGGTTCTGTCGGGTTTCCTAGAACCTAGCTTGTACTTGCTTTTTCCCCTTTTATCGGAGTTGCTTAACAACGTCTACCACTGCGGCTCTATAGCTGACTGAAGTTTGGGAGCTTCCGCTCACTTTGGGATTTAGGGTTTGCAGATTGGGTGGTTTACGAAAAGAAGGGATCCCATTCTAATTTCGGGAACCCCGAACAAAAAACCCAAATAATCGGGTTCCCTTATAATAAGGACCCCATTAAGGTACCCCTAATTTCACAAACCCCCCATCTGTTTGCAGTAGCTCTTGAAGGGATGAGCCCCCTTTGTACTTCCGTCTCACGAAGGCTGGGGTAGCCCAAGCCTAGTCCCTAAACCCTAAACCCCAAAGCATCTAAGCCCAACAACCCAAAAATCCCTCAAACCCTAAACCCCAAAGCCAAGCAGCATCCACAGCAGGCCCCGCCGGCGCTGGGGACGGGCTGGGTGGGCTCGCCTTTTGGGCAGCGCTCGGCAGCGCAGCGCAGCTCAGAAGGTCGGGGAGCTGCGGTCGCTGGGAGCTGGGCCAGCTGGGGATCTGCCAGGGTCCAGGATCCAAGGCCACTTGCCCAGGACATGGGGCAAGGGAGCCGAAGGCGGCGCGGGCTTGGCAGCCCGAAGTGCTCAGCTGGCTCGGAAGGCTGGCCTCATTGGAAGCCGGGGCGTGGGCGGGGATAGCGACCGGCTCCCGAATGAGAACGTCACTCGCTGGCAGCGGCGAGTCGGGCGCAGCCCTCGGTGGTGACGGAAGGGGCTGGGCGAGGTCACTTCGCGGCCCTGTCCGCCAGCCAGAGAAGCCCGTGTTGTGCCAGTCCGGCGGGCGTTTCACCTCCAGGCACCGAGGAAACGACCACAAGTGCTGCTATCTTGGGATGTCCCCCCTTTTTCTAAAAGTCCGCAATGGGGATTAAAAAAAAAAACCCAATTATCGTCCCGATTAAGGACTGTTAGCATAGGGAGGGACATCCCAAGTGCTGCTGATCAAACTAGAGGACCAGTCGATCAACGACTCAATACCCAGTGGCCACCCCGGGATCATCATAGCTGCAAAACTTCATCTTGGGTTTTTTAGGTTTCGAGTTTAGTGTTTTTGACACGCGCTCTCTGCTAGCAGTCCACAGCGCTCCGGGTTTAGGGCTCAGGGTTTTGAAGCTTTTAGTGTGCAGGGTTTAGGATTGAGGGCTTGGGGCTTGGGGCTTGGGGCTTGGGGCTTGGGGCTTGGGGCTTGGGGCTTGGGGCTTGGGGCTTGGGGCTTGGGGTTTGGCGTCTAGGGTTCAGGGTTTATAGGGCCACTAGACCTCGAAGGTGTTGAAAGAAGGCGGGTGTTTGCGCCTCGCTGCCGGCCATTCGAGGAAGGGCCTGAGGGCTTTCGGGGCCAACTCCAACACTCCGCTCCGTCCGCTCGGCCTGCTCGGTCCTGAGGACGACATCAAGGATGTGCGGAAGAATTCTAGTCTAAAGGTCTGGGCGTTCAAGCTGATCTCCGGGTTTGAAAGGTTCCACGAGCACCCAGCCGTCAGAGCTTGACACAGGGATGCAGGGCCCAGTTGCAGCTTATCCCCTCCCAAACATTCCCCCTCCTATCCCCTAATCATACCAGAATATAACCTCACTATGGGAAGATCTGAATATCAGGGGGTGCATTGAATATTGGGAAATTGGCGCAGGTTCTTAGTTCGGGTGGGTGTAGACCTACAAACCGAAAGCCTCTGAGCTGCTTTCACATGCCACCTCCCCAAAAAAATCAACACCCTGAAGTTCTCGAAACGTCTATGAAAGGCCATCTTCCACCCTCTTGCTGAATGAACTGAACTTGGGCACCTCGAGGTCGAGGGAGCCTCCAGCGCCGCGAGCTCGCGGCGCAAGGCATCCAGTTCCTCGCGCAGCTGCTTCTCCAGCGGGACAACCCCAACCTGCGGCAGCCGTTCTGCTTGACATCAGTTCGTCCGCATTTACTAAGTACACATTAGTGGGGATCATAGTACCCCTGTTGTGATCCCAACTAAGGGGGGAGCTTGTACCGAATTGGGCCTGTTAGTACAAAGGGGAACATCCTCGTTTCTTTTTGTTTCTGACATGGGTTTGGGGGTGATTAAGCGTGGTGCCGACAACGACCCTTTGCTTACCTTCGACCCAATCATTGTCCTTGAGTCTGGCCTGACTAATGCGGGAGGGCTCCACGTGACCCGCCGCAGCTCGGGGCGGAGTGGGGCCCGCAGAAACCTTTCAACAAACTCAATCAAAAAATCTCACCATTATCGACCCAACGCCAAACCGAATGTCAAGCTGATCGCAGCTGCGTTGCTGTTCCGAATCCATCATGCACCAAACTTGGTCGATCCATGCTGCCTGTTATCAGGGTACTGCCCAACAATCGAAAAAATCCAGCATGTTTGTGTCAGACCAAACAAAGCTCAAGCTGTCAAGCGTTGTGGTCCTAAGGCTGGAAGGCCTCGGCGGCCCGTGCGTGGTATATCCAAAGAAGGAAATGCCATCACATCAGCGCCAAAAGCTCGCGTTAACGATGCAAAGAGTCGCAAAAGCAGATTTGATGGCCTACTGCCTGCGCACGTGATGCTGGTGTACTTGGGTTCAGCTGCAGAAAGGGCCTAACCGCCAACAGAAGCATTTCAGCGAACACATGGCACGCAGTTCGCGTTGCAGAAATTTGCGGGCATGTTTTTTTTTGTGTTGACCGAACCAAATTTGTTGCGCAGGAACAAGATGGGACAAGCATGGGCAAGCAACCAACTACTTGTGTTTTGAATCCTGCGTGTGGCCTCCTGCTCCGTAATGCTCCTCAAGGACACCAAAAACATTTATAATTTTTTTTTATATTTTGCATGATTAGATTGTTTAGTCCAGCAACAAGCGAATTGCGCCCGGCACGCCCCCTGCCACACGCGCAGCGGGCGGAGCTAGCCTTGCAAGATCTGCGCTCGCACGGCTTTGGAGCGCCGACCAGGGCAACACTGCTGGCGATGCCAGAACGCCATGCGTTTGACCGGAGGGGGGCCTAGGCAGGCCCGGATGGCAGCACGTTGCGGCTGCCGCATTGGATTAGCGCGCGCTGGGGACGCTCTTTGCAGAACTTTGACCCTGCGTCTCGAGCGCTGCTGCTGCCACAGGGCTGGTTACCGTTGGCCCCGCGACGATGTGCCTGCGGAGGTATCCTGGAACTGTGGGGGAACCGCCGCTCCGCGATGCTCCGCGTGCCCATAGGTCGGTGCGCTGGCCCGCCGGGCAGGCGCGCTGGAGCGCGCCGCGGCGAGGGTATGCCGCGAGACCGGTGCTTGCGTGGCGACCAACGTCCCGCTGCGGGACCTCAACATCGATGCGCCGGCGGTGGACGGCCGTAGAATCGACGTCATGGCCAACGGGCTTCCGGTCTGGCAAGGTGCGCAGATCGCAGTCGACGCGACGATCGTCAGCCCGGTGCGACGCGATGGCGAGGCCCGGCCCGGGGCCGACCGAGAGCAGGGCTGGCCCTGGGCCCAGGCCAGGCCCAGGCAATCGACCGTAAACGCCGCACGTACCCCGAACTCGAGCAAAAACAAATCTGCCGGCTCCTGCTTTTCGGCATCGAAGTGGGCGGACGATTCAATGAAAGCACCCTAACGTTCCTGAGTCTAATGGCGCGGGCTCGTGCACGCCAGCGGGCGCCATGGTGCGAGGCGGGGGCGCGGCAAGCGATGGTGCGCCGCTGGAACACCCTTGCCGCACTTTCGGCGCTCCGGGCGCACGCGAGCACACTGCTGGAGTTGCCCGTCACGGATCCAGGGGAAGCAGCGGATGCCTGGAAGTCCCGTTAGGCGACCTGCTGGCGGGCGATGGCCCACACCGGTGTAGCGCTCGCTGGCTGCCGATGGACAACCAATGCCACAAAAACAAAACCTTGAAGGATAAAATCGTACGTCACGATCCGACTGCGCATGGTCAAATGCCCAGCATCAAGGAGCGACATGAACCATACTAATTTTTCCCAGCGTCTGTCAGTGCTGAATAATGTAGCTTGCACCCCATGCATTCCAAACGAGTGGCTGAAGTGAAGTGAAAAGCAGTGGATCAGCAACGGGAGCGCATGGAAGCGCAACATCGACAAGGGCATTGCAGATTCACGCCACGATGGCGTGCAAAACTGCGAAAAGTCATGATGCAACGAGCAGCCGAACCAAATGCCATCCCGAACAGGTCCATCGCTCGGCCCAGGCAGTGGCGCTGCCGGCCACGCTTTGTGCTCGCCACGCGCGAGCTGGACCCGGCTGGCGGCGCACGTCGAACTCGGAGCGGGACGAAGTCGCGAACAAAGCGCTGCGCAGCAGTGCTCCAGCGGCCTCCCATCTCGGAGCCTATAGGACCACGAGCTTCTGCGGGCCGCCCTCGCGAGTTCGGGGTGCGTGCAACGCTGGCGTTGCTCCGCGACCTGCAGCACGGCACCGTCCACCTCCACGGTGCATGGATGTGGGTGACCCGTTCTTGTAAGGGGGGACACCAGTGTTGCGTCACAGCACAGCGCTCCTCCGTTGGCGGTGGCCCCTTAAACGACGAGAACAAGGCGGCGGCGGTCGTCGGCTGGGACGACTAAGGAGGTCGTGTGGGCGAGCCACTGCTGTGGCACGACCTGACCCTCGGCTCTGACGGCCTCTCGCGCCACGCGGACCCAAGCGCGCTCGATCCTCGGGCAAGCCAGGGCATGGTCGCCGTACGGGTCGGCGGCGCCACCACATCCTGGGTTGGGGCCGCAACGTCCGGGGCAAAGGGGCAGGGGCAGGCATAAGCGAGGCCTCACGGTCGCCTGCTAACGAAGTGAGATGATCGACTCCGCAGTTTTGCAGCTTGTAATTTTCCAGCGGTGAATACGTGGATTGATATTGCTGAAACAGCAAATTGGCCGCCCGCTGCAAGCCAGTACGTACAAAGCTTTGCGAATGTATAGACCGAATCGTGCCAACACTATCCAACACTCAAGCACGCCCCCATTCCCCCATGTCCGTATAGGACCGTGGTCCACTAGCAGCAGGAACAGTCTGACGCTTGTAATGTTTCACGTGGACCCGAACGGGCGAAAGCGAAAGCGAAAAAGCGATCGCAGGGTGGTCAGCAGCAACGGCAGGCGGGTCGCCTGAGAGCGATGCGCATCACATCCGGGCAAAGGTAGCTGCTGCATCAGCCGGAGTATAGCAGCAAACCAAATGCCCGCATGTTGCCCAGACTGAAGGCGGAAAAGGGCTCGCGCATCGGGTGCCATGGCTAGTGGCAGCTCGCGTTCCTGGACGGATGTGTGGAGTGCGAAAATAGTACGTCGCCGCCCGCCAGCGCCCGCCAAGCCCAAGCTCACCGGGGCGTGGGCCCCGTGTACACATGCCCAACGAGGCCGCCCGGTCGCGTCCAGGCGCTCCGTGGCCGCGCCGTTGCACGCAGGGCGTCGCGGTATCGCCCACAAGCGTGCGCAGGTCATTTTTTCCATGCCTAGTTGCGACTGCAGGAGGGCCCCCACACTTTTTTGAGCCGGCACGGCCTCGCGGAGCTTGGACAGGACAGCTGGCTGATGGTGTCGTAAGCGCATATGTGTACACTCTATCCACATTGGTCACTACGCAAAAGCGTGCACACGTCGCAAAAATTACTGAAGCATGCTGAAGCCATGGTGCGAAACTTTGGTGCTGCCCGTCAGGTTTTCGACAGCACAAAAACAGACTGGGTGCTGTGGGACGACCGCGAGGCACACGAAGATCATCCACCTCGCTTGCTTGAGCAACCTGCTGTTGCATACCTGGGCTTTTGTGGCGCTGAGCGCAACGGGGGTTGTGCTGGGCGGGGGGGGAACGAGCGGCGGCATGACGGCAAAGAGGACGTCGCTGCGTATGAGGGCGTCTGGACAGCAGGGTGGCGACTTTCGCACACGCAGCCGAAAACCAGGATTGCTGCCCATCGGCGCGCATTTCGCATCGACAGTACGGCCGACCTCCGAGTTAGGGTGTGCCAGGGATGATTCGTGCGCGGGAACGCGATTCCAGCGAACGCGCAAATCAAAGGCGAAGGCGACGGGGCAAGCGAAACAGTTCGGGGTTGAACGTGCAAGCGTGGGAGCTTCCACTCGCGTTTGCCGCCTACAAGCCCAGGCTGCCGCTATGAGCACCTGCGAGCATTTGACGTTGTGCGTTTTCCAGTTCTGAAAGGCAATTCCGGGCTGGGCGGACAGTTGTCTATCGTTCGGGCCTAGCTATGCCTAGCTCGAAAGGCAGGACACAGTTGTCGCGCTGTCACATGTGACGGCACTTTGGGCATGGGCGGTCGCCATGACGGGTCGCGCAGTCCGTTCGACGTCGATTCGACGTCTCGTCTCTTGGTTGATTTTTTGACGTGCAAGTAGAAAGAGATTCATGGTATGGCGCATAAGCACACAGGCGCACGGCACTCCGGTTGTGTAAACACGAGGCGAAATCGGATGAAAGCCAGCTAAACCAAAGCTATGACAAGTGAGAGCTCTTGTGGTTGGTTTCTGGATAATTCGTGCGGGGCCTGTTGCTTGTTTCCGGGTCCAGGTGGTGGCTAACGGCTAGCTACCCCGATCGGCAGGCCATGCATTGCATTCTGGCATTGGCTTTACGCTCCAGGCTCCTTCGGAATTCGTAGTCGTAGCGGGCACTGAAAGATCCGCAAACGCACCGTTGCGCACACACGCCGCCAAATCATGATCGCACGGGCACATTCCGCAATTTCCCAAACTTGCTCCAGGATTTAATGTCTGTGCGGGTTTGGAATGTTGCTACCTACAGCACCGACTTATCGTTCGATGCAAAACGTATCTGTTTCTGCGCAACACGCCTCTCCAGCTTCTCCGAAGGACGCGTGTTGTGGTATGCCGCGCCGCTCGCAATTGCAACGGACAACGGGAAGGCCGGTCCAGCAGTGGAAGTGGGCACGCCGCGCTGCGGCACGCCGCGCTGTGGCACGCCGCGCTGCGGCGCGCTGCGCCGGCGCCTCACGGGACGGCCTCAGCTCCGAACCTGTCCCCGCCTCCAGCCGATCACGACCAGCTGGCATCGCCGCGCCTTGGCGAGCTGGCTTGTCCTCCAAAGCACTGCCGCCGTTGGGCGACCTCCTGGCGTGATGGGAGGGTCACGGCATGTCTTCCGTCGCCTCGTCCCTCGCGCTTGAGCGTAAGTAACACGCCCGTTTCAGCTAGCGTTGCAGACCCGTGCAAGCATGGATAGCCTGGCGGCCATGCTGCGATCTGCTGACTGCATGCAACGGGTTTCACACCACGTTGGCAAGGTGTACACATACGCCTGCACCGCCGAAAATCATCTTCCGTGCTGTCGCAAGTATTCGGACTTCGCGTAGATGAGTGCCGAATTCTACCGAATGGTGTTGGGCCAAACTCCGCTTCGCCGTCGCACGATTACGTCAACGCCATGCAGCTGCCAACCCGTAAACACAACCCCGCTCACAAAGACCCTACCAAGAACCTTGAAAACAGCGGCTTGACCTTGCCATCACGGCACACCAGCGGCCGGAAGCGGGACCAATGGCGAAGTCAAGATCCACTGCCTGACCAGGGCACCCGCTTCGTGTCTTGTGTCTGTGGTTCTAGAAGCCACGGGAGCGTGGGAGGGAAGGTCCAGCAGGATTCCCGAGCTGTGGCCACATGCACGCGGACCCACGGGAGGCATCCGTGCTTCACAAGCGATGCTCCAGGATCGTGCCTCACACACACCGGGCTCGGCCATCCTTTGGGCCGAGCTGGCTGCGGCTGAGCCCCGCGCATGTGGGCAGATGCATCCTTGGGATGGCTGTCATGGGAAATGGTCACGTCCTGGCCGCGTCTTTGTGGCCCTTGCCAACTTCCTGAAGATTTTTCTCGTTAGCCGGCTTGCCTCTGTTGCTCGGTTGGAATTTTCACTTGCGCCGCCATCAGACGAAGGGCAAATATATATCTATATATATATACAAATATGTATATGGTGCCCCCCCCCAAAAAAAAAAAAAGCGTCCAAGAAAACCAAGCTGCAGTACGTCCAGATGCAACTGACAGCATGTTACTTAAAAATATTCATATATATATATATATATACTATATATCATAAATGCTATATATAAGTTTCTGTTCGTTTTGCTCATGATGCATGGGGCAGTGGGAACAGTGTAGGGTCAAACTCAAGGCGCCATGCAGATCTGCGAATCTGCGTTTCCTCGAGACAACGCAGAGTCGCAGATTGGCAGATTTCAACCCCCACACCCCATCAACTCAGATGGTAGGCTGAAACAAATCTGCAAATCTGCGAATCTGCGTCTCCTCGAGAAAACACACTTTTCCAGGGTTGGAATCTGTTTTTCCTCGAGAAAACGCAAATTCGCAGATTTGAAGTTTGCGTTTTCTCGAGTTCACACAAATTCGCAGATTTGCCTCTCCATTTCACACATCAACTCAGATGGTAGCCTGAAAAACCTGCTATTCAAATCGGGGCATTCATACCTAGAGACTATTTATTTCGGGATGGAAAATTAAATAATTCAACATCTCTTCAGAAATAGAGGAGCCTTCATATTTAAATTACTTAGTTCGGGGAAGGACTCGGACTCAAATACAGCGAAATAATTTCAATACTTTGCATAATTTAAATGCTGAAAGGGGGTCCTGGTCCCCTGCCGCAAAGAGAAATAACTGATGTAAATATTTTAACTCCGAGGGGGCCTTCAGTTTTAAATAGAGGCATTCATATGTAAAAATGGTGACTTCCCGAATGTGTGGCAGAAGAATTCCCGTTTCAAGGTTGGGGTCCAGAGGTCCCGGAGGCGACCAAAAATCGTTGCGTTTGTGGACGCAAGCGTTCGCAAGCGTTCGCAAGTGTTCCCAAGCGTTCGCAAGCGTTCGCAAGCGTTCCGCAACCGTCCGCAAGCGTCCGCAAGCCTTCGCAAGGGTCGGGCATGCCCGAAAGACCCAAATCGTCGCGAAACGTAGAACTGTCGTCACTTTTTACGTTTGGCCTTGCAAACGTGTGTACAGACACGGGATCGGGGAGGTCGTGGTCGCGAAACGCAGAACTGTCGTCACTTTTCGACTCGTCTGGGTGCAACAGTCACGGGGATCGGGGAGGTCGTGGTCGCGAAACGCAGAACTGTCGTCACTTTTCGACTCGTCTGGCATTGTCGAGTGCAACAGTCACGGGGATCGGGGTGGTCGTGGTCGCGAAACGCAGAACTGTCGTCGTCACGTCCCAAAAGTGTCAACAGTCACAGGGATCGGGGGGGTCGTGGTCGCGAAACGCAGAACTGTCGTCACATTCGTCACGTTTCGACTCCTCTGCTGTCGTCGCGTCCACAAGTGTCAACAGTCACGGGGATCGGGGGTGTCGTGGTCGCGAAACGCAGAACTGTCGTCACATTCGTCACGTTTCGACTCCTCTGCTGTCGTAGCGTCCCACAGTGTCAACAGTCACAGGGATCGGGGGGGTCGTAGTCGCGAAACGCAGAACTGTCGTCACTTTTAGACTCCTCTGCTGTCGTCGCGTCCCAAAAGTGTCAACAGTCACAGGGATCGGGGGGGTCGTGATCGCGAAACGCAGAACTGTCGTCAGTTTTCGACTCCTCTGCTGTCGTGGGTCGTGGTCGCGAAACGCAGAACTGTCGTCACTTTTCGACTCCTCTGCTGTCGTCGCGTCCCAAAAGCGTCAACAGTCACGCGGACGGGGTCGTGGTCGCGTATCGCAGAACTGTCGTCACGTTTCGACTCCTCAGCTGTCATCGCGCCCCAAAAGCGTCAACAGTCACGGGGATCGGGGGGTCGTGGTCGCGAAACGCAGAACTGACGTCACTTTTGGATTCGTCTATTGTCGTCTCAAAAGTGTCAACAGTCACAAGGTTCGGAGGGGTCGTGGACGCGAAACACAGAACTGTCGTTACTTTTGGACTCGTCTCTTGTCGTCGCGTCTCAAAAGCGTCAACAACAGTCGCGGACAATCGGGGGGAGTCAAATTATAGCGAGGAAAGATATGAAGATATATGAAAGGAAAAGAGAGGAGAGAACAGTGAGGAGGGGAGAGCGACATGTGGCAAGTGTGCAGTATGTTCAGATTTTCAGATTCCCGGACGCAGGTGCCCAGCGCTGTTTTCGCCCGTCTGGAGGCCTTGCATAGGGGGTCTTTCCTTTGCTTTCACGACGATGACGGCTGGGTCTTGCGTTGTGTAGAACATCAGCCTTGGACCCAACAATGTCCGCGGTTGTCCGTAGCCCGTGAACTCCGCGAGACTGCTTTTATCTTCAGGATCTGTGCTGGCGCCAGGATGTCGCTGACCAGCCAAGCGAGTTAAAACAGGATGCCGGGCTTCTTGCGGGGATGTTCAGGGACACATCGCTTATGCTAAATGGAAGGACCGTGATATCGCGCCGTGAGGGCACGCTTCTTTGTCGTTAAGGTGTGTCTGTCGTTTTGGATGATTCCCTGGACGCCTTGCTTGTATGACTGCGGTTCAGTGCTACGTTGTTCGTAAATGACGTACCATTCGCAAGGAACTTCGTTTTTCGAGACGATTGGTCTTGGGTTGCTTGGACGGTCTGCAACCAACCAAGTGGCAAGTGTGAAGGTTAAAGGTCTCCACAACTGCCCTGCGCAGCTGGCGTAGGGTGCTGACGTAGACTGGCAGAACTCGAACGCAACTCTAAATAATGAGCCCAAGCAACAGTGCGCAACGCACAAAGCTGCACACAGCTGGGCCCTAATCCCGACCCACAGTGCTCGAGCACGACACGCACGAAAGATCCGTAAGCATTCTGGGGGCCACGCACGAGATTCCCTGAAAGTGCAGCAAAGCAATTGGGAGACGCCCGGGTTGCTTGGACGGTCTACAACCAACCGAGTGGCAAGTGTAAGGTCTCCACAACTGCCGCTGCTGCATGCATCTTTCAACCTTAAGACAAGCCAGGATGCCAGCACGCCATCTCCAGGGAGCCAACCCCCAGTCCAAACTTTCCCTGTCGCAGCGCAGGCCCGAGTGCCTTGTCGTCAGGCGTCCTTCTTGCTTCCGATTCAAATAAGCTTGCATTTGCTGGCCAACGTTCCTTTTGCAGGGTGGGATCGCTAGAGACTGGGGCAGCGGGAGAGTTGCATTCGAGTTCTGGCCTCCACTTTCCTTCTTTTGACCTCTTTGTGTTTCCGCATCGATCATGTCAGGAATCTTCCTTCGTCAGCACCCTACACCAGCTGCGCAGAGCAGTTGTAGAGACCTCTAGCCTTCACACCAACTGCTTTGCTGCACTGGTATGCTCGGATTTAGCCTGTAAGTTCCCCTCTTGGCTATTCTCTTAAAAATTTAAAATTTAGGCCGTGCTTTGCTACTGGAAAACCTTTCACTTGGAACACCCACACCCCGAATTGTAAAACCTCAACACTATCACTTCCACGTTTACAACGACGATAACTTCGCACAACTACCAACTCCGACCACCACTACCATCTGCTGCGACGAACACTGCCCCTTCCTACAACTACTGCTTCGGTTACTGCCAACACGACCACTGCGGGGGAACCATTGCAACTGCTGTGGCAACGACCGACAACACCACTTCTAAAAATTGACGACAACAACAACAACCACAAACAACCACAACACCACCGTCACTACCACAACAACCAACAACAACCCAACATCCCAACCAACCACAACAACAACCACAACTAAAACAACCATACCAAGAGCCTTACAAACTTTTGCGACTAAAATCAACCTGAGAAACGTTTGAAAAACCGAAGGTCCCTCGCTTACCTTTTCCCAAGAAAGTGCAAACCCTTTCCGTCCAAAACCAAGCACAGGCACTCGTCCTTTTTCTCAGTCTTGAGCCAAAGTTCACCAAGTGCGCAAAACTACAAACGAATTCAATCGTGATGCTTCCTTCAGAACAGAGTCCCTCCTCACTGCACACTCACTCAACATAGCGTATTGGGCAAAAAGACGAAATCACAGAGGCTGGGATCACAACGATTCCCAATCACTCCGAAGCAAAACAACTGCACAAGCTGATCTAAAACATGACAAACATCATGTATCAGCATCTTCCACCCCGCATTTTGCTGAGGGCTCGTGTCAAAGATCCGAAGTCCAAGCATAGCCCGGCACTTCAACACTAAGGGGATGTTCTAGCCACATACTGTGGAGGTCAC